TTCTCTACTGAGCGCCCGCTGGCTCAAGTGCCGGGACTTGTGGGCGCAGCTGAGGCCGGGTTTCAGTTCTGCGTTTGCTGCCCCGGGACCTGATGAGCGCCTTCCCAGTTTAAAGAGCCTCTGGCATCCTCCCCCAATTTAATGAAAATGGGGAGCCTCCTTTATGCTTTTCTTTCCCTTCTCACTGGATCTTAGATTAGGAGACAACAACCTGCCTTATTTTAAATTGATTTTAATTTTTAAATGTCAGGTGTACTCATTAAAGGATATTTAGAAATATTGGAAAAACAAAATGTGGGTTTCAGAAAAGTGTTTCGGGGTGCCTGCGTGGCTCAGTCGGTGAAGCATCTGACTCTTGATCTCAGCTCAGGTCTTGATCTCAGGGTGCTGAGTTCAAGCACCATATTGGGCTCTGAGCTAGGTATGGAGACTACTTTAAAAAAAACAATTAGAAGAGTGTTTCATGATAGGAACTCAATATTAAATAAGGTGGAAAAAATAAGACTTCTAAGAAATCTAGATTCATGACCTATTATTGCCCAGTGCACTGGCTTTGCCACCTGGGAAAAGTGTCTTAACCTCTCTCTTCGTCTCTGAGTTCTTGTTCGAATGAGATGAATGAGACGGTAAAACCATTTCTTCCTCCCTCTCACTCCCCGATGTTGTTGTTTCCTCCAGAAAAAAAAATGGAATTTGAGAGTGTTCAGTAATCTGGAAATGACTATAAAGTATTAGAGGGTGTGCAAAAACCTCTGATCCTTCGGCCCGGAAGCACCAAGGAGGCTTTTGAGGAGGTCTGTGAAACCATGGCTTCACTTTGCAACATCAAATATTTTAAAAATAGTTTTATTTTATTTTATTTTATTTATTTTATTTTTGAGAGGGGGAAGGGGAGGAGGAGAGGGAGAGAAAGAATCTTTAGCAGGCTCCGCGCCCAGCTCTAGGTCGATGAGGGGCTCAATCTCAGGAACCTGAGATCATGATCTGAGCCGAAATCAAGAGTCCCACGCTTAAGGAGTGAGCCACCCCTGCGACGGATGAAATAGTATTTTTAAAAACAAGACAGAATCAAAAAACATTGCTGCCTTCTCTCCTCGCATCTGCCAGTGAGTCTGATGATCACTTCCTGAGGTGCTGAGCTCGTTCTGGTGGGAGGGAGCGGGGGTCTCTATGTCCCCACTCCCAGCTCCACCCCACAAAGAATTCTGGGTGTTCAAATGCCAAGCTGGAGGAGGGAAAGGTCTACGTAGGCTTGCAGCTTAATTCATTCTCCAATTTTGTGTCAACGGGGACCAGCCCTGCCGGGCAATTTGGTTCTCCCAGCTCCGGTCGTCAGTCTGCAGGGGGGTTGCACAGGGGGCAGGGTGGGTAACTCGCGTGAGGCTGTGAGTCTTAGAGGAGGAAACGGGCACCTGGTGGGGGAATTCAAGGGCCGCATGGGTCGGAGCCAGCATACGTTCAGCGCGGGTCACTTTGCATATCTGTCTTGAGCCCTTGTGTCCAGGTCCGCAGAGAAACCTGTACATCTTGGAGGAATTCGTTATAAAGGACGAGGGGGGACTTCCTAGTCCCCTCTTTGGTTCTTTTTCTTTATGGGGGTCTCTTGTTCCGATTATAAGACTATGGGGGCCCCGTGTTTTTTCAGGTGTTGTTGGTTTTCATAAGGGAACCCCGGAGGCTGGTTTCCGCAGGGTGCCAAATGGCTTTACCAACCAAAATCTGAGATTCTGGCACCTGAGGTTAAAATGAGCTGGCTTAGGTCCCGCAAGGAAATCCGGTTACCCCGGCGAGGGGAGACCCTCCCTGGTGTCACCATGAAGTCTGTCGTGCACGGTTTATTCGTGGTTTAGTCACTCTTTTTTTCAGGGAACTAGAGTTCAGATTCCTCTTACACCATGTCCAGCCTACAATTGCGTCTTTACTGGGGTATAGACCAGCTCAAGTCCCAGAGGCCTGAAGAGAGCAAGAAACTGCAATTCATTTTTGTGTCCTGGGGAGATTTTTTTTTTAAGTATGCAATACATCTAAGTAATTCTTATTTGTCTAAAATCTCATGATTTGACTCTTCATTAGACGCAGGCCCTTAGTAAAAAGAGATCAAAGATTTTTTTTTTACAGTATTAAAATTTCCCTGTTGACTATGGGAAAGAAAAGCGGAAAGAGGACGTGAGCGGGGTTGGGCCACCATCCCAGGCCAGCCCAGGGACATGTCCTTAAAAATAGCCAAGAATCCGAATCTCAAACACCGCCCCCCCCCCCCCCAGCGGCCTCCTGAACGAGAGAGAAGCCTGGGAATTTAGCGGCAGCCGATAAACCTCCTCCAGCCGGCGGGCCAGGGAGGCCTTGAAATGCTCCCTGCTCCTGGCAACGCCCGCGGCGGCCGCAGGGGCTCCCGCCTTGCCCCAGCGAGGGGGGGGGGCGATCGAAAGAGAGAGGGAGGGAGGGAGCGAGGGAAAATCAAACACCCCAAAAGAACAGACTGTTCGCCAACCACCTTCTGGACCTTGAGCTAAACCCTTTGGGGAGAAAGTTGGGGCTCCGGGTCCAGAGAAAAAAGCCACAGGAAACACAAAAAATTCTCTATTTCAGGGGCATTCCCAGAAGGAACAAATCTCTCAAGGTTCCCAAGCCTCAGCCCACCTGAAGAGCGCCAGCTACGGGCATGGGTAAAACAGTTCTGTGGGGTCCCTGCCAGAAGAGGACTCCTGGGGAATCTGGGGTTCCTAGCAAGCAAGCGCTTAGAAAAACCAAGCTCTTCCATCTGAGGTCTTACAATGGCCACGTACAGCAGGCTGGGCCTGTCGTGCACCCCCCCCCCCACTCCACCATCCCAGTACAGAGGAGGAGACTTAAGTTCTCAGGGCCTGGAGTGGGGGCAGTGTGTGTGTGGGGTCGCCCCAGGGCACCCAGCTGCTGCGAACCTCAGCACACAAGCTCTTGCACTGCCCGCCATCCCGCACAACTGGTAGAAGCCCGCCTGAGGGTGGTCTGTGCCCTTGGCTTTGGTGAGGACGCCTGGATGGCCGCTCCACCAGATGCTAAGCCCCAAGCCCTTGGCTTGTTGCTAAGAAAATCCACTGCCCAGGCTGCAGGCTCAGCTCTGAGGGTCGCTTGCAGAAAGCAGCTCTGAGACCTCGGGCATCGCTGGAAACACAAATCCCCACCGAAAACGGAGGCCCGTACAGCTTGTCGCTTGTCCGAGCCCACGCGTTTAAGTCTCCAGAAAGCCCTCACAGGCCAATGGGGATGTCGTTTCAGACAGAACAGGGGTCGCATACCCTTCTCCGCCAGGCGTCTGCAAGTGCGCCCACCGAGGGTCCTCCCCAAACCGCTCCAGCTTTCGCGTCCCTAGGAGCCCCTTAGGTTCCCAGACATCTGTGATCTGTCAGCGCCAAATTCTGCAGAGGCGCTTGCAAGGAGTTGAGGGAGGCCGGAGCAGGGTCCCTAAACAGACCGTCCTAAGCTTCCGGGGTGGGAAGGGGCCTAGGCGGGCGGCTGCCTGCGGGTCGGGATCGGGGCCGCGTGGGTGCGTCCAGCCCTGGCGCAGACCTTCCGCGGCTCCACCAGGCGCCTCAGTTTTGTCCCCAAGGCTCGGCCGGTCTGAACCTCCGCACGTTTCGCTCAGGAAAGAGAACTCCCCGCGCAGCCGCGCTCAATCCTTCCTCCGGGATTTTCCTGAGAATCCCCATGAGTTGGCCACGATCCCTTTGGGGGTTTCCTTCTAATCAGCCCCGCGTGCTAGTCTCGTCCGGAGCGCCCGGGTTGCCCTCGCGCAGGCCGGGAACCCACGGCCGATTACCAACAGCGGAAGCTGGCGCAACCCTTTACCCTTCCTTCGCGGCCGCACGGGTTTCATGTAGGCTGGTATCCCGGCCCCCTCCCGACCCCTCTAATCTGATATGAAAAACCTGCTCTAGAGAGAGAAACTCGGCTCTGCGGGGGGGGGGGGTGGTGTTTAACCGAAAGCCTAAGAGCGACCGGCCGGCTGTTATCTGGGGCTGAAGGCTGCGGTAATCGATGGGTTATTTTTACGCGGTAATAGGGCCCTGTGATTGCTCTATTAACCTTTAGACCTGTCTGAGGGACTCTCCGGCTCGCAGCCCCGCTGCGCTGGGGCCTCTAGGCACTGACGCCGACTCCAGACCCAGGCCTGCCACCCTCCCCGCCCCCAACTCTAGGGAGGGGCTGGGGTTGCTGGAAGACCTCTCTGCAGAGAAACCCTGCTGGACTGCCCGGCTCCCCACGCCCCGGCCACGTCCCTGGGATTGGTGCAGCGGCGCCGCAGGCTGCAGGGAAAACGGAAAGATCTGAAGGTGGGAGGCCGTGGAGGATGGGAAGCGTCGCCAGGAAGGGGTGCACGTTCTGCACAAATGCATAAAATTGAGGACTCGAGAGGCCACCTTGCGGACTCCCCAGGCTTCTGGGAAGGCTAAAGGGAAGCTTTGGTGCCTGCGCTCTGACTCGAGTGGGCCAGTCCCAGGTTTCGTGTCTTTTCCACTCGCAGTTTGGGGCTAGCGGGATCCCCACTATCCACTACCTCGCGGAGACTCGCAGCCAGCCGGGCACGTCTCATGGCCCCGTGCACCACAGCCGATCAGGGGTCTTGCCCAAGAGGTCACCTTTCCTTCTATCAGCCCCGCCCCTGGCCGCGGGAGTCCAGACTGCGGCTAGACCCGGACCACCGGGAGGCGGGGGTGGGGGATGGGGTGGAGGGAGGAGGGAGGCGAGGGGGGCTCCTGAATAAAGCCGACCCTGGGTAAAACTGCAAAGCGAATCGACCTCAGGCGCGGCGGTGGGCGAAGCCCCGCGCCCCGGCACCGGCACTTCGGCGCTTTCCGAGATCCGTGCGCCTGGACTTTGCCTGCTAGGGGAGTTTTTCGAACAGCCCCGCAGCTCGGCGCAGAGCGGAGGTGCAGCCTCTGCGGCGCACCCCCGCCCCCCGCCCTTGCACGTGACTCGCACGGGCCAGTCAGCGCCCGGGAGCCGGGGCGCAGGGGCGAGGGGACCCGCGCCGGGACCTGGGGGACGCGGAGGCCGCCGGCACAGTGGCCGCGAGAGGCACCGCCGCAGTAGCTCCCCGGGCGCACAGGGGAGCGCGCGCCGGCCCTCCAGGAAGCGCGAGTCCGGCAGGTACGGCTCTCTCTTTCCTCGCCGGGCTCTTTCCCGCCGTCAGCGAAACTCAGAGCTCCTCTGCGCTGTTTGCCTGGGAGTGGAGAGGTAACTGGTGGATGGAAGGAAGGAGACGTGGGGCACTCCCTCCGCCCCCAAGTTGGCCAGAGACTGCTCAGCTTTGGGCATTGACTTACTAGCGTCTTTAACTCCAAGTGAGGTGGAGGAGGGGGAAGCGGAGAGGGGTAATCCAAGTGCTTTTTGATTTTTGTGTGTGTGTGAACTTGAACGTTTTTAATCCCCGCCCCCCCCCCCCGCATACATTCTCCAGACCTTGTTTGCACCTCCCAGGCCAGGGAGGGCGTGGATGGGGGTGATGGCCGTGCTAAATCACACTGACCCTCTGACCCGGGACAGGCCGCCCGGGGGGCTCAGACGGCGGAGTGTCGCCCGTCGGTGACTGCGGGGACTCAGAGTGGCGGTGGAAGGCAGCGCGACTGGGCCTCGGGCCCCAGGGACGCGCTTCCAAGGCAGGAACGGGGTCACTGAGCGCCCGGACTCTTGATGCCCTTCTGGCCAGCCTCCTAGCCTTCCCGACTGGGGTCGGGGGAGTCAGACGCCACCCACGAAGCTAGCAACCCCACCCACTCACACTGCTGTGGGTGAAAGTAGCTGAAGGCCGGAACCTGGGAGGAAAGCAGTAAGTCCCTCCGCCAGCCACGGCTAGCTGCCCCGTTCCACGGTATTACGTCGCTTGGCTCTGGGCTGAGGGTGGGGGTGGGGGGTCCTTCAGGGAAGAGGAGGATGCCCGGGTGGTCAACTGCCGCCAGGCTGAGGGGACCAGGAGGCCTTTCGGTTGGGAACCAGAGTGGAGAGGTACCCGGGGCTGGGAGGATTCGGGGCAGCACTGTGGCTCTTCGGGGAAGATTGGGGAAGCGCCGCAGGGCAGTATTTCCTGAGTTTCTCTGAAAGGGAATGGACAGCCAAGAGCAGGTTTGCAGGTTTTTAAAGGCAGGGATCACGGAGGGATACCCCCACCACCTCCGAGGCTCCACGTTCCCCTGCAGCGGCCCGCTCTCTTCTTGCTGGCCAGTGCGTGCGTTCGCGTGTGACAGTTGTGTGCGCGGCAGGCCGAGAACCGAGGTGTGAGCTGAGCCCAAAGAGCCGGAGTGACTTGCAAATAGACGCGGACAGGAGGGCAAAGCTTTGGATCCTCCCACCATCAGAAATAGATTGGAAAAGGGCTGTGGGCGAAATCACGAAGAAAGCATTTCCTGTTTGGTCTGTGAATTTGAAGTGAACTGGAATGAGTGATCAGGAAGAGAGGAAGAAACGGGGAGCAGGCCTGAGCCCCATGGTGAGGCCAGACCCGCCATTCTCAGTAGCTCCCGAGGCTATCTCTGCGGATGCCTGAACCAAGGCTTAGTATCAAAAATGAGCAGAATGATTTCTCCTCTTTCCAGAAAGGTATAGAGTGGTATTTTCTCCACCTTCTATTGTTCAGTAATGCAACGCCCAGGTAATGTACCAGCCGCTTTAGAAAGGCAGAGCATGTAATAAAGACAAATGTTAGATTTATGGCATTTTTAACATTTACATTTTAAAGCTTGTAAATTAGCGTCTGTATGCATATTGGGAATTGGCTTACAAAATAATAAATCTTTTTCTGCAGTTATGTGAGAAAAAAGTATGTCGTTAGGTTTTAGAACTGCAGAAGTTGAGTATTACAGAAAATACAATGCTATGGTCAACTATTTGATATAAAAATTAAATACTGGGTATTTTATCAAGGTAAACCTATGTATTTACTTATTGAAGCCCAGAGATTCCTATGAGGTACTGATTTTTTTGCCTTTGTTCACAAAGAGTGAAGTTGGCGATCTTAGATCTTTTTTTTTTTTTGACATTTTATTTTTAAGTAATCTGTACACCCAGCCGTGGGGCTCAGGCTCACAACCTGGACATCAAGAGTCACATGCTCTGCCAACTGAGCCGGCCAGATGCCCCTCAGATCAAATTTTTTCGTATCCACCCTCTACCCAAACTTTGTACTGGAAGAAAATGTCCAACAAACCAATAATTTATTGTATAGTTTTGAAAGCAAATAATGAACAGTCTTGGAATTAACGTGACTATAGAATACAGTGCTATTATCCATTATCATTATCATTAGTGATGTTGCAAAGATGTTTAAAAGCATTATATAGTGTGTTTTAGAAATCCCATTTTCAGAATTTTTTTTACAATGCTTAAGATGCCCATTTATTATAGTATGGTTATATCTGAGGCACTGTCTTATGGCACAGTAGAAATCTATAATAATAATGACCAACAATTGTATAGAACTTTGTGCCTGTTACAGGTTTTATAAAACCCTGTTACAAATGCTTTATATATATTAATTTTAATCATAATCCTCACAGTAACTCACAAGATAGATATCTTTAACATTTGCATTTTTGCAAATAAGGAAACTGAGGCACAGAGGTTAGGTAATTTGTCTAAAGTCATTCAATAAGTGACAGAGCCTGGATTTAGTGTAATAAAGGTCAGTTAATATCTTTGCAATTCTACTATTGCAATGAAAAAGAAACCACTGTTAAAAGTAGCTGCTGATTGTTAAGGAGAAAAGTGGGAGTGTAGTGGTGAGCCTCAAACCCTGGAGGCCCACGGCATCTGTCCCCCACCACCCTTTAATTGTATTTTGGTATTTGACAAGTTTCAAAACTTTGCAATGCTTCAGGAGTTCCCGCTTTTGTAAAATGAGGAGACACACTTTCCCTTAGGGAAGCTGTGGCAAAAAGGACCTGGAACAGAGCAGGTGCTTCAGATCATAGAGCTCTTGTTTTATCAGAAAAGTTGCCTGAGAAAATAAAAACACAGGATACAAGGATATAACCAAGTCCTATGAACTGTTCTTCCCCTTCAAGCGGGGGCATTGGTGTTCTGGTTCCCTACGTGGGTGGACCAGTGATTCTATACGGAAAAACCCATTCAGTGAGTCTGAATGGCCCATTGAGTAGTTCTGTAAAGTGAATTGCACATCCCTTTCAATTTTCTGGTTTTGATACCCAGTCTGCAAAATTGCTAAAATATAACTGCAAGAAACAAATATCTCCTCTGATTTGACTTCTACATGGTAAAGTGTGTGGATGGATAAGAGATCTCACAATCCTTTAAGAGATTTAGCAGACACTGTGCTCATGTATAAACATTTAGACTCTACTTCTAGTTAAAAAAAAAAAGTCACAAACAAAATTTTCTTAGGTTGCTGGTTTTTATGAAGTTTGTCGTCTTTCTCGGGCAATCTAAAGTTTTTTCACGGCCAGGGACGCTGAGGGTTACGCAGGACGAGGATGAGCCATATTTCTTGGGTCCTGGCCACTCTGCTGGAAACCCGAAACCCTTGAACTTAGAAAATACTGGGACAAGAATCTGTTTGAAAAATAAGGTAAAATTAAAGTCCTTCCTGACAAGCAATTAAAAAAAAATTGACTTCGGTCACAATCAATAATTACATGCCCAATAACCACGTCTGTAAAGCGGCCCTCGCCAGGCAGGCTTCCCTGGAGCAGCCAGGCCTCCCGGCCCCCGCAAGGCGCAGACCTCAGTTTCTTTCGGAACCGCCTGGCTTCCAGAGCTGGGCGCCGAGGGCGGCGGTTTCTTGGGTTCGCAGCGCAGGGGAAGTGGGGCGTGAACGCTCCGATTGAACTTGTGTCCCCCCCCTTTTTTTTTTTTTTGTCTTTCCTGCTTTAGGACCGTGGCCACAGCGAGCAAGGGAGCCCGCCCCCCACACGGCGGCCGGAGTCTGCGGGCGTCCAGAAGACCGTGCGCCGCGACCGCCGCCCGCGCGCCTCCAGGCCCGGGAACCCGCTGCCACCCGCAGGCGCTCGCCACCTCTAGGCCAGGCCCTGGGGTCGATGCAGCAGCCCCTCCTCCAGCACCTCCGGGAAGAACCAAAATTTCAATTTGGGATTTTCCTGTAAACCAGAGCCTACTAGAGAGTCATTTCTTTTCTTTTTCTTTCTTTTTTTTTTTTTTGGCTCGATTCTGGATTTAATACCTTTACATTTTTTTGAGAGATCTGCTTTTCTTTACTTTTGATTTTTGACCTTCGTGTACGCGACAGCCCCTCACCTGTACACGATTATTACTTCTTTTTTTTTTTTTTTTTTTTAATTGTTCTTCTTCTCGCTCCCCGCGCTGCGCCTTGGCGCGCAAGTGAGGGAGAGGGCCCGGGAGCCCGGGGCTCGCAGGGGCGATGTACCAGAGCTTGGCCATGGCCGCCAACCACGGCCCCCCTCCCGGGGCCTACGAGGCGGGCGGCCCCGGCGCCTTCATGCACAGCGCGGGCGCCGCGTCCTCGCCGGTCTACGTGCCCACGCCGCGGGTGCCCTCGTCCGTGCTGGGCCTGTCTTACCTGCAGGGCGGAGGCGGGGCCGCGGCGGCCGGGGCCTCCTCGGGCGGCAGCTCCGGCGCGGCCCCGGCGGCGGCCGGGCCCGGAGCCCAGCAGGGCAGCCCGGGCTGGAGCCAGGCGGGCGCCGACGGAGCCGCCTACACGCCCCCGCCCGTGTCGCCGCGCTTCTCCTTCCCGGGGACCACCGGGTCCCTGGCCGCCGCCGCCGCCGCCGCCGCCGCCCGGGAAGCCGCGGCCTACAGCGGGGGCGGCGGGGCGGCGGGCGCGGGCCTGGCGGGCCGCGAGCAGTACGGGCGCGCGGGCTTCGCGGGCTCCTACTCCAGCCCCTACCCCGCCTACATGGCCGACGTGGGCGCGTCCTGGGCCGCGGCCGCCGCCGCCTCCGCCGGCCCCTTCGACAGCCCGGTCCTGCACAGCCTGCCCGGCAGGGCCAACCCCGCCGCCCGACACCCCAATCTCGGTGAGTACTGAGCGCCAGCACCGGGCGGGCTGGGGGCGGGGGGGGGGAGCATCTGACGTTTCACAGGTGTGTGCGTGCGCGTATGGGGGCAGGGTGCGGGAGCCTGCAAGGAAACAGACGGGGTGGGGGACAGAAGCTGGAGGTGCCGAAAGCTGGCGGCGGTGAAGGTCACAGCCCCAAGGAGCCCAGATTCAGTTCAAGGAGGGCCAGCCTGCTCGGTGCGTGCTTTCCTGGAAGAGAGAGGACTGCGGGGTGTCAGGGTCCGAGTGTGTCCCCGTGCAGCCCCAGACGTCGTCGTGTGTCTGAGCCAGCCATGCCCAGGTGCAGGTGACTGCGGGAGGCCAACGAGGCTCGCTGGGCAGCTGGGAGGAGCAGCCGCGGGAGCCCTTGGTGCACGGCGCTAGCGATCGCGGGCTCCCTGCGCCCGTGTCCCCTCGGCCCTCCCTTAGCGTCCTCAGCGGGGAAACCGATTACGGTGGCTAGATAGAGCCCAAGATCTTCTGGGCCATTTGGCGGCCCAGTTGGAGGGTCCTTCCGAGAGGCACATTATGCTCCCGTCGGGATTTCACACCTGGAACAAAGGAGGAACTAGAGCTGCCGAGAGGGGTTGAACTGGGGCTGGCACCTTGTGGGTGCCTTCGGGCCAGAGCGTATTGCGCAGTGCGCGGGTCTGCGACCGCGCAGGTACCGGCTGCGCTGGAAGCGCGCGCCTCCTCGGCGTCCAGGAACGCCGGAAGCCCAGAGGGGCTTCTCTGTAATACCTGACTTAAATGGAGACTTGGCAGCAGCTTCCGTAAGTTGAGCGTCCTCTCGTCCGGAGGGTTGAGGTTACAAATAACAATCGTAACGGGTACAATTTAATATTTCCTGTGAATGTCAGCCCCGGGAAGGACGGCAAACATGCGCTCTCCTGCGCCGATCTGCAGAGGAACGAGATGAAGTCTGGGGAAGGGTCTGGAAAGGGAAGTGGCAACCACTAGTTCAAAATGCAAAGGACCTGTGGGTCTTGTGGAATTTCAGGAAGGGACGGGATCGGGTTTGATTGGAGATGGCTGGGGTGGCGGGGGGAAGGGAAGCCCAGACCTGAGAAACAAAGTTAACATTTATTGACTACCTACTAAGCGCTAAATCCTTTCACATTTGTTCTCACTTTGAAGAGTAAAGCCTGTCCCTCCCAGGTTTCCAGTCTTAGGCTGGCTCTGAGAAGGGTCCCGGCTTTGAAGAGCTTTTAAATTATCCTCTGACCCTGGGTGGCCAGGGAGGGTCCCCAGGGGGGTCCAGCCAAATACACATCCCAGGTAAACTGATTAACCGTGGAAATGGCGCCGGGCAGGGTCTGCGGCTCCTGGTCTCCCCCTCCCCTTCTCAGGGGAGCCAGACGGCACCCCCCAGGGGAGGAGGGGTAACTGGCTCCGGAGCCTTTTGGAGGGCCTGAGCGAGATAGCTCGCTTGAAGCATCTCCATACAATGGCAGCTGTGGATGGGTGTGTTGGCCGCGGCCGTTTGGCCCTGCATTCTCAGAACTCTCAGTCGTCTCTAGAAATCTTTCTAGAACTTATGTTTTAAAATAGGGAGAAATGGCCCCCATAGTTCCACTTCTTTTAACTTGTGGTGGGAGTGGAAAGGTTGCCGCCTAACCCCTATAACCTGGAATGAGAATTTGGTGTTTGGTTAGGGAAAAAAAATGTTCAAAGTCCAAAAATGGAGGAAATATTTTTCTGGTCATCAGAATTACAACCACAGTAATGTTAAAAACAACAACAATAACAACAACACACACAAAACTGTGTGAGTGCACACGGTATTTAAATTCTAAAATGCAACCCATACCATTTAGGAGAGTGCTGAAGTAAGAAGTTTCCCAGATTTCAAGGTCAACAAATGACGAGCTGACCTCCAAGGAGCACTTCCTTGCTGAGAAGTGTGGCCCGTCTTCCCAATACTCTGCTCTGTCCCACTAGTACAGGAAGCCCCACCTGAAGACAGTCCTTGGGTCTGGCCTAGCAGCTGGATTATCTCCTCTATACATAGCCAAGTGTGTTAAATGGTGGTCATGAAAGCCTCCACGTTATCTCTGTGAGAGAATATGAGCCGTGCGGAAAGTGTTGGCATTCACATCTTCAGTATGTTCTGCAGGTGGCACTTATAAAAAAGCAAGTCAATTTAAAAGCAGTGCATGTAAATAAATATTTTTTATCCTGTTCCTCCTATCCCAGGCACCCTCCTGTAAATGCCTGGTGGCTTTATCAAGGACCAACTCTGGCATATTAGCTGATTCCTGGTGATTGAAGCATGATGATAAGTGATTACTGATTCCATGATATTTATTGAGACCCTGCTGTTTGGAGTTGCCACCTGGCCCTCAGATGGCAAGACAGTTTGGTAGTATGACAGGCGAACATTCATTTAATTCCAGGTACCCCTTCAAACTTGGGCAAGTTACTTCTCTCAGTTCTTTTTTTTTTCTTTCTGTAAAATGGGATAATCTTAACTACTTTCAGCATTGTCTTAAATTAGAAAAATAAGGCAGAGTTTATGAAGTAGTTGGTTTTGGCCTCTCCGAAGAGATAGCTATTTTGTTAAACTGCTATTCACTATCATGTAGAGTGACCTATTTTTTCGGATTTTGTCAGGACTGAGGGGTTTCCCAGGACTTGGAATTTGGGGTGTGAAGCCTAGGGCAGTCCCCAATAAACAGGGATGCCTGGTCATCCTAAACATACATGAAATTAGGCACACGACCCAGTAGCATGCTGCAGGATTGTCTAAGAGGAAAGGAGAAAAGACAGGAAATGGCTCTTTCTCCTGTCTGGGAATTTTTTTTAAAAAAGATTTTATTTATTCATGAGAGACACAGAGAGGCAGAGACACAGGCAGAGGGAGAAGCAGGCTCCATGCAAGGAGCCTGATGCGGGACTCCATCCTGGGACTCCAGGATCACACCCTGAGCTAAAGACAGATGCTCAACTGCTGAGCCACCCAGGTGCCCCATGTCTGGGAATCTTGAAGTTTCCACCTAAGTGGTATCATTTGCATTTGGTCTGGAAGGGTAAGTAGGAGTTTGCCAGGAAAAGCACAGCACCTGCAATTTGAAAAAAAAAAAGAAAGTTATACCCTCAACCCTCATTTACCATCACATTTCGTAGTACTGTGAAATGATACCATACTGCCTAGCTTTTGCGTTAATAATATATTTACAGCCATAGGTAAAACCACACAGACTAAGTCACTCTTCACCTCAGAAACTGGTTTCAGTTTCAATGAGAAGAAATAAGAGAACAGCTTTACTTATTTATTTATTTATTTATTTATTTATTTATTTATTTAAGATTTTATTTATTTATTCATGAGAGACACACACACAGAGAGGCAGAGACACAGGCAGAGGGAGAATCAGACTCCATGCAGGGAGTCTGACGCGGGACTCTATCCCACGTCTCCAGGATCACGCCCTGGGCTGAAGGCGGCGCTAAACCGCTGAGCCACCCTGGGCTGCCCCAGCTTTATTTTTTAATGAAGTACTAACTGCCTTTCAGTACTAACTTTCAGTACTAACTTTCAACAATATAGTTAATATCTTGTCAGAGTTCTTATGTTGGCTATTGGAAAAGACAAAACTCAAAGTAATAAAAGCTAACAAAGGCCTCTGTAAAGCCCTGCATTTGGGTTGGAGGGAATTATTTTGCCTTGACGGCAATGTATATGAACTTCAATTCATTCCAAGTTCAATATGTGCCTGACCCTGAAACAACTGTTGAAATCATCAATTAGGCTACATTAATGGAATTATGTGACCTTACCTAGGGCAGGTACAGTCTTACTCATGTTTAAGTGCCAGGCACATGCTGGGCACTTGGCAAATATTTGAGTAGAGATCTAGGAGGCAATTGCCGCAGTACTCTGCCCAGGTCAAAACACACATGGGTGGCTGCTTCACAGGCTCCTTGGGGAGCCTTGGGGAAAAGGGAGCAGGATGAAAGAGGGTTCTGCAACTCTTGAGAAACCACTGGAGCGGTTTTAGGTTGGAGAAGTCACAGGGTGGCTAAGAGAGAGAAAGAGAGAGGAGAATGACTGTATAAAAATACTTAATGGGTTGCCTGGGTGGCTTAGTCGGTTAAGGATCTGACTCTTGGTTTCAGCTCACGTTATGAACTCAGATGAGCTCAAGGTCTCAGGGTCCTGAGATAGAAGCCCCATCCCCACCCAACTGCATGCCCCTCCCTGTTGGCTCTGTGCTCAGTGGGGAGTTTGCTTGAGATTCTAGCTCCCTCTCCTTCTGCCCCTCCCCTCCCCTCCAATAAATAAACAAATAAATCTTTTTAAAAAATGTCTTGCAAGGCAGAAGTCTATGACCTTTTAACCTTGTGTTGCTCCAGGTAAGTGAACACTAGGATTGGCAAGAACACCTTCTCACATGATTGTAGTTGTTGAATTAGAATATGGAACATGGCTTCTCTTAATAATAACCCCTTGGGTACTGAAAGTGGTTAAGGAGAGGGTGCATTGCTGTGTGCCAGTGGAGCTGCTCAGGGAATTCTTGCATTTCAAGGGCTAGAGCCCATGTTCATGTGCATGTGAGAGAGATAGCTAGGGCAGGGTACTAGAGTTGTGTCTCCTTGTAAAGGAACCAATCAGAGTGGTTACACAGGTATAACACTTTGTCAAAACTTGTGGAAATACTCTATTAACATGGGAGTATTTGGTTGTATGTATGTTATACCACAATGAAGTTGATTTCTTAATTAATGCCTGCAAATACTTAAAGCAGAAAAGGAGACCATGGAAATTATGTGTAAATACACCATGAAGGAAATAGCATTGTAGGGGATGTTACTGGAAAAGTGAGAAACATGATCTTTATTACGAAATAACAATTCTTTGGGGTAATAGTGAAACAAGCAATTCTAATACTGCCAGAGGATCTCAGATCTTTATTATTTTTTTTAAAGATTTTATTTATTTTTTCATGACACAGAGACAGAGTCATAGGCAGAGGGAGT